ACCTCGGGGTTGGTGAGAACTGGGGGGCGCATGGGGGGATGTGGGGTAGAGCAGGGGGGACCGTGGGTTAAATGGGGGGACATATGGGGGGGACCTGGGGCAGATTGGGGGGCGAACAGGGACAGAGGGGGAGAGATTTGGGGCACAGAGGGTCCGGGGGTGTCCCCAGGAGGGGTGATGGATGTCCCCCCACAGAGGGTCCGGGGGTGTCCCCAGGAGGGGGTCCCGGTGCCGGGGGTGTCCCCAGGAGGGGTGATGGATGTCCCCCCACAGAGGGTCCCCTCGCAGCCCGGTTGCTGGGGCTGCACCGCCCCGCCGTGGCCGCCGCCACCCCTGCAAGGACCGGGCCAGGCCCGCGGGTCCCCGCCGGTCCCCACCGAGGGATGGCACCCCAGGGGTGGCCCCCGAAGGGTGGGGGGGCGGAGGGCGCTGCCAAAGGGTCCCTGTCCCCGCTCCGGCAGCTCCTGGTGTCCCCTGGTGTCCCCTCGGATCCCGGTGTCCTTCCCGGGCCGGGTCCCCTCCAGCACCCGGAGCCGATCCCGTTCCCAAAGAGCTCGGAACGATGCCCAGGGCAGAGCCCGGAGCTGCAGGAGCCTGGGGACAGACCCGGAGCCTGGGGACAGACCCAGAGCCCTGGGGACACACAGACACAGCCTGGGGACAGACCCGGAGCCTGGGGACACACAGACACACAGAGCCTGGGGACACACAGATACAGCTAGGGGACACACCCAGATACAGCCCGGGGACAGACCCAGAGCCTGGGGACAGACACACAGACACAGTCTGGGGACACAAACACACACACACAGGCTGGGGACAGACAGACAAACAGACACAGGGCCTGGGGACACACAGACACAGTCTGGGGACAGACAGACACACAGACACAGTCTGGGGACACAAACACACACACACAGGCTGGGGACAGACAGACAAACAGACACAGGGCCTGGGGACACACAGACACAGGCTGGGGACAGACAGACACACACACACAGGGCCTGGGGGCACACAGACACAGCCTGGGGACACACAGACACACAGACACAGCCTGGGGACAGACAGACACACAGACACACACACACAGGGCCTGGGGACACACAGACACAGCCTGGGGACAGACAGACGCACAGACACACACACACAGGGCCTGGGGACACACAGACACAGCCTGGACACGCTCCCCTTCCTCTCCAGCCCGAACTGAAGTCTCAGCGCTGAATTAAACATTAAAAACCCAATTTCCACCTGTTGTTTTCACCGTGTTTGAACCCAAACCTGCAGCTCGCTGAGCTGCACCGGCACCAAAGAGCTCTGAAACACCCAAAAATCTCTCAAAGCCCCAAAGACGAGGGCTCCAAACCCTGGGCACGAGGAGTGAACCCCAAATCTGCCGAGTTCAACAACCACAGGAGCAGGAAAAGATCGAGAGGAGCAGGAAAAGATCGAGAGGAGCAGGAAAAGATCGAGAGGAGCAGGAAAAGATTGAGAGGAGCAGGAAAAGATCGAGAGGAGCGGGAAAAGATCGAGAGGAGAAGAAAAAGATCGAGAGGAACAGGAAAAGATGGGCACGAGGAGTGAACCCCAAATCTGCCGAGTTCAACAACCACAGGAGCAGGAAAAGATCGAGAGGAGCAGGAAAAGATCGAGAGGAGCAGGAAAAGATCGAGAGGAGCGGGAAAAGATTGAGAGGAGAAGAAAAAGATCAAGAAGAGAAGAAAAAGATCGAGAGGAGCAGGAAAAGATCGAGAGGAGCGGGAAAAGATTGAGAGGAGAAGAAAAAGATCGAGAAGAGAAGAAAAAGATCCACAGGAGTGGGAAAACATCGCTCCCAAACCAAACAAACGATTCCACTGGAGCCAGAGGCAGATTCCAAAGTTCTGTATTTTTCAAAATAAAGATCACACGTTGTTTAGAGACAATCTACACAAGAGTTACAAAAAATAGTCGCCCAGGCAGAAGCATACACAGGTTTGTTAATTATACACATATGGTTACAAGTGTGCTTGCAAAAAAGTTCATTGGAAATATACACAAGGCTCTGTAAATGTACACCGTGTAGTGTTACAATTCTATATTCAAACGAGGAAAATTGACAGTATGTTACATTCACTTACAAGTAGACAAAATGCAAAATACAGTTCATCTTCTGTACAAAAAAGGGGGGAGGTGATTCACACTTTACAAGGTGAAAAGGGGCTCTGATTGTAAGGAAAACCGGGAGGGGGCTGTACTTTTGCACTTTTTGTTTCTTACTGTCACAAAAGAAGCAAAACATTACTTTGTAAGATTCAAAAAAACACTATTTGGAACTGAATCAGGTCTGTAGAACATTTAGAAAGGATCTCTACTGTCCAACTAGGTGACAAATAAAACCAAGCAGTTTATTTTTCTTCCTTTTTTTTTTTTTTGTTTTTAAACATTAACTAGGCTGTATAAAGAGAACATTTCCTTCAAAAGAAAAAATTTACTTCTGGTTGAAATTACAATTTACAATATACAACACTATATGCTACGACCATAAAAGGTGTGAATATACACTGAAATGCACAGGTTTTGCTAAATTCTTTTTTTTTTCCTGTTTTCTTACCAAAAAACGGGTTTTATGTCGATTCAAACTTCTCCACATTTACATTACAGAGGTTTACAAATGTACAATTGTACAGTCAGAAGTATGTTCCACTACTAGGGTACATTATAGATACAGATCAGACATCAAAACAAGAAAATACTACAAATTTTTATATATGTAAAGTCTACACCAAGTATACACTATATATTTATAGAAGCAAGACCAAAGCCGAGTTGGATTTTTTTTTGTTTTGTTTTGTTTTTCCTCATGCTAAATAATCAAATTGTGTCTCTCCAGGTGAACAGAGGAGTGGGCATAAAAAAATCCCAAAAATCCTCCTGTTTAAAATCATCTCTGGGTGTTTTCTGAAAATGCCAGCTAAGCTCCCTCCTCCAGCATGTCAAAGTCACAAATAAAATAGAAATAAAACCATTAAAAAGTCCCCAAACCGGAATTTTGGTGTCTTTGTTTAAAACCAGACTTTAGCAAGATGAATTTTCCTCTTTTCAGTATTTCTTAGCAGTGGTGTCACTGAGCTAAAATCCCAACTTCTCGCTGACTTTTGGGCTAAAAGGAGGTTAAAAAAAAAAAAAACCCCAAAAAAAAGTTATTTGCAAAAAATGATGAATTAAAAATGGGTTTTGTTTTGTTTTTTTTTAATTCCCTGTTTTGTTTGTTTGTTGTCTTCAAACCAACCACCCTGAAAGTCTCCACATTTGGAATATAGATACAACAGTGAACAAAAATGTGGCCTTCCATGTACATCTGAGACCTATGTACAAGAATTCTATACACCAGTAAAACAGCAGGGCAATTAGTTAATTAAAAAAAATAATTAGTACATGTTATGCATAATAAAATTAAAGAAATTTACAAAGGCTTCTCTTTTTTTTGTGTGGTTTTTTTTGTTTGTTTTCTGCTTTTCTTTGTTTGTTGTTGGTTTTTTTGTGGGTTTTGTTTGTTTGTGGTTTTGTTGTTATTTTTTTAGCAACCGTGGCGGGTGGTGTGGGTGGATCCTGGGATGGATCCTGGGGTGGGTTCTGGGATGGATTCTGGGATGGGTTCTGGGATGGATTCCAGGGATGGATTCCTGGGGTGGATTCCAGGGGTGGATTCCAGGGATGGATTCCAGGGATGGATTCCAGGGATGGATTCCTGGGGTGGATTCCAGGGGTGGATTCCAGGGATGGATTCCAGGGATGGATTCCAGGGATGGATTCCAGGGATGGATTCCAGGGGTGGATTCCAGGGATGGATCCTGGGATGGATTCCAGGGATGGATTCCAGGGGTGGGTTCTGGGATGGATTCCTGGGATGGATTCTGGGATGGATTCCAGGGGTGGATTCCCGGGGTGGGTTCCCGGGATGGGTTCCCGGGATGGATTCCTGGGATGGATTCCTGGGATGGATTCCTAGGATGGATTCCTGGGATGGGTTCCTGGGGTGGATTCCTGGGATGGATTCTGGGATGGATTCCTGGGATGGATTCC